CGAGCACAATGAACACGAGTCCCAAACGTAATCAAATTTTTCAATCGATTCGCGCATCGAACCATCCGCCAGCGCCCCTGCACCTATACTTCCTACAAAAATTTCGCTTCTAATGTCCAAAGGACGGCCACGGCTGTGTGTCGCCGTACGAAAATTTAAATTGCGGAACTCCGGAGCCTCGGAAGTTTTTACGAGCGCCGTTTAAAACTCGCCTCGATCCTCGGAACATGGAACGCGGTCCAAAATCCTCGAACCGAGGTCGACTCTCGGGCAGCGTACCAACTCCGTGAAACTTCGTCTATTTCGTCGATTGTTACAGTTAACGTCCCGTGACCGACGACGAGACTCAGGGCCGTGATTCCGTCGAATAGAGCGAAACACATCGGCAAGATACGCTATCATGGAAGCGATTTATCCGTCGGTAAGCTTCCGCCGAAAGAACGGACGGCAAAGTTCTCAGTCTCCCTCTCGAGGAATCGTGTTGGGTACGGTCACGATTCTACGGAATAAAGTGAAATACACCCGACAAGTATGCTATCAAGTAACCCATTTCTCCATCGAGAAAGCTACGCTAATTGAAAGAACGGATGATATTCGTAGTTTCCCGCTCGAGGAATGGTGTCGGCGTCGTTCGAATTCGCCGCCGGAACAAGTCGTGAGCGGCACCGTTGCGGCGTTAGACCCCATTGGCCTATAGCGCGATCAATACGGGGTTTTCCATGACGTAAGTGCGGCCTGTGGGTCCTTATTGGTCGCGGCCGTACGCCGCATCCCATTATTTATTAAGACCGCATGAATGGGCGCTTCTCGGTCGCGTCCGGCCCACGTCTATCGGTCCCCTAGCGTGGTCAACGGAGCCCAGTCATCGTACAAAGACGAGGGAAAGCGGAATTGAGAGCCGAGTCTGATTTCCGCGGAAAAACCCGACGGGAGCCGCGCGTAGCGTCCTCTCGGACGTCTGTCTCTCCCTTGGCTCGTGGTCCCGGCGCGTCCGCGAGAAGCCGGAATTCGTGCGGGCAGGGTGGTGGTCCGTAAATGGTGGGACGACGGCGGTCGCGGGGAGGGGTGGTGGTTCGCGCAACTGCGGTCGGTAGCTGGAGAAAGAGGGTGGAAGGGTGGAAGAGAGAGAACGAACTATTGGTAGGAGAGAAGAGGGTGTCCTCGTCGCGTCGAGAGGCTTGAAAGGAGAACGCGTGGGGGGGTTAGATTATTTTTTCCTTGTTGGCAGCGGACGAGGACGGGAACGGCGACACCGCCGCCGTAGGCCTGCGGAGGAGCCGGGCCATCTCGAACGCCCGGTGAGATTCGAACAGGAAGTCGATTCGCGGCCGGAAATTAGCCCCCTTCGGGCGGACCGGTTGTCTCGTTCCAGTCCGTTGGCGGAGGGAGGACACGGGCTGGAGGGAGGCAGAGAGGAGAGAGGGTTGGCGCAGAGAGAGAGTCGGTGGCGAGAGCCTTCGCGAGCGGAGAGGGAAGGTTGGACTGGAGTTGACTGCAAGGGGCGAGGGACGAGGCAGATAGGACCAGATATAGAAGGCGTGGGTAGAGGGAGAAAGATGTAGGCGAAGCGGGTCGGGTGGCGAACGGGGGCGCGGAAGGGTGGCTAGGGGATATAGAGAGAGAACGAGCAAAGGCTAGAACGGGACGGTGCCGGGGTGGACGGAGAGAGACAGAGCGGAGGGAACGGGAGCGTGACGGAGAGGCAGTACCCGTCAGTGAGAGTAGTACCAATCGCGGAGCGTTGACGGACATAAGCGCGCTAGGGGTGTGGAATAAGCTCATTCGTGTGTTGTTCTTGCGTCGAGCGCGCCGAAGGGAGAGGAAAACGCTTTTGGAACACGGAAGCCGAGAGGAAGTTTAAATCTCGTTCGTGTTCGGCCATAGATCTCTGGTCGTACGATTCCGGGGCCCGTGTACGTTCGTCGATGCGTGTGTACGCGAGTGTGTCCGTGTAATCAGTGCGAGAGAGGGATATCGGGCGACCGCCGCAGAGAAAGAGAGAGCGAGAGAGAAAAAGGTAGAAAGACAGAGAGAGGGAAAGAGACAGTGAGAACGACAGACAGAGAGAAAGAGAGAGAGAGAGAAAGAGAGAGAAAGAGAGAGCGAGAGAGAGGGAGAGAGAGAGAGAGAAAGAGAGGAAGAGAACAATACTCGCGATAACGGAGTAAAACTGGCTTGTCCGTTAACCTGACGAAACACGGTGGATCTATTAATTCATCGGGAGGAGCCTCGGCTGGAAGGATTCCACCGAAGAGGACAGTGCGACCGGAGGGCTCGCGACGAGGATCGTTCGTAAAACCGAGTGCGAAACCTCGGGCACAGCCGGTCAGCTGGGAGAAACGGCTCTCGTGGGTGTGGAACGATCCGGCCTAGGGGGCGATTGATTGTGTGGGTGTCGCGGTCGCTGCAGAGACGTCGAGGAGCGCCATCGTTGTGTCGGCCGCCACGTGAATCGTGGCCGCGGCCAGTAACGAAATACTTGTGGCGTTTAAATATCGTCCGGGGAACCCTCTTGTGGCCACGTATACGTGGCGGACACGAGCCACGCGAGCACACGAGAATCGCGTATCGGGTCGAGTCGCGTCGATCCAACGGCGTCTAGAGGTATCGTCGTCGTCATCTTCGTCGTTGTCTCGCGAGAACTCGTCGTTCGCGAACGAGTGACTTCTCGAACCTTTCCGGACACCGGATCGATCGCGATTCCCATTGTCGACGAGTCTGTTCGATTCGCTGTCGTCGATCCTGCCGTGAGGATGCCTCTCAAGCGCGCCATAGAATAATCATCCACGGGGAAGAAGAGAACGAGTCCGGCGAGTCGATCGTAAGGGAAACTTCCTGAGCGTGTGTGTCCCGACGTGGAATCGATGAAATTCCGAAAAGTCGGAGAGCCGAGGGATAGGAGCGCGCGTAGCCATCGTTGAAAAACACACACAGCATTCCGGGATTGGTCTCGCTCACCTCCGACGATAATAAATCCACGGATCGCCAGTCACCCGGAGGATAGCTCTTAGGTTGCTCGTTCCACCTGCGCCCCCCTCGCTAACCCCCCAACTAGCCGACCGACCGACCAACTATTCAACCCCCACCCCCGGT